GCACTCTTTCCCTTAAGAAAAGTGAGAAAAAAAAAATAGACGCTTACTTTCTTGTGAACTTCTTTTATTTCCTCTACCTTGCTTCTCTCCTTTCTTACCACTGCAGTTGATCACAAGGATGTTATACACTTGTGGAATAGAACTACACTACTGGAAAACATTATTAATGCTTTCAGAGTGAAAATTAATGATTGCTGCAAAATTAATAGCATTTAAGCCAATACAATTTTGCTAATGGAATTTGAGTGGCATGTGAGAATATTACAAAAGCAAAGTTAAAACAAGGATAAAGAACTATAAAAGATGCATAGAAAGCAAATACACATACTCATTTAAGTTGTTCCTTTATATCATTTGTCATCCGGCTGCATCTGCTCTTACACCTGTGCCCCCTGCCTTGATCTCTTCTGATGCCCTGGAAATATTAGGCACACTGCCAATTTCAGACCCAGCCATTTCTATGATCAGACCCAGCTATCAGCTTGCTTTTAAAAATATATTAAATCAAGTATCAACCCCAGGGCTCTGAACTACTTCTGACTGACAGGACCAATAGAAAGTTCCAGACTAATTACTTCTAAGAAATAGTTCCCAGTACAAAGAGTTAACTACTGACCTACTTTAGACTTACAGAGATAATTTATCAGGTAAGATAATTAAAGGAATATAAAGCTGTTTCAAAAATGAACCTAGTATCTGGAATATTTGTTGAAATCATAACTTAGTATTCCCAGTGCTATCAGATAGGATTTTACTATTTTACAATGAACCAATGTTATTATGTTTGTCTTATTTATAAGACATTCTATTTCTTTATAAATTTAGTTGGAAGGATGTATTTGAGAATCTCTTTGATGTATAAATGCATTAGTGTTGACTCATTTCAGGCTAGACAGAAGGAGAAGTAATTTTTCAAGTCCTTCCTTTTTCCTTCCCTTAACCCCTTCCTCAAAAAACAGTCATGCACATGCTTTACACAGGTGTTTCTATTGCTTTTGAAGTCTGTCTTAAATAAAGGATGCTCTGGTATTTCATATGGTAGTATCTTGCTGAATTTTAACTCTCTTTTGGAAACTTGATTTTTTTCAACATTTAGGAAAATATCTACAACTGAAGAGTTTTTTTTTTTTTTTTTTTTTTGTAATAGTCTGTTGTTTTTCCTCTTAGGAAAACCTGAACATTTTCTGATTTGTATAAGCCTTGATCTTCCCATAGGAAGAAAAAAGCAAGAGAGAACCTTGCAATGAAATCGTCAGACAAAAAACTGGGTCTTAGATTAGATTATAAGCCATCTGTTTTCTCAAAATAAAAGCATTAAATGTTAGGTCACTAGTATCCTGGCTTATCAATGCCAACCCCTAATTATTATTTTTTTCTTCTTCTTCAACTTTCTTTCTCCCCTTTGTGATCATTTCATTTCTTCTCCCTCTCCAGTATGCCTTGTTCCTAAATTCAAAAACTCATCTAACGAGGAAGGCTGATCAGATGACAGCAAACTGGCTTTTTAATTCTAACAAATATTTATCTTCACTCCGGAAGTACTTGGGTAATTCTGAGTAACCAGACTTAGCTCTTGTGGCAAAATGTAAAATATTAATTTCTTACCCCAGGTTTAAAGAAAGATCAAGAATTATTTTTTCACCTTTGTATATGCATTGTAGACATGATAAAAGCATTTATTATTACTATTTCTTTATATCTCATTATTACTTCTTTATGTAGGATAGAAGAAATTTATTTGCATAAAATCATAGTTAAGTTGATGTCAAAGATAAGATGAAACAAAACACTGAGTTTCATTCTCTGTGGCCAGATGGCATATGCAGTATTTTATGTTTGCAAGAGAATCTGGCTGTGGTCTCATTCAAAATCAACAGTGTATTTGAGCCCAAGGAAGTTCTATTGATTAGTACTGTAAGTCAGATCACCCTCGTATCACTTCCTATCTTACTTTATTGCCTCTTTAATTCCATGCTTATTTAATTTCATTTATTGTTTTATTCCTATGTCCTTCAGCTGTTTCTAATCTGCCCTTCATGGTCATAACTGAATATAATATGCTAACATACAAAGATATTTATGTAAATGAAAATCAATGCACTCATCACCTCAGCACTGTTCTTTATTGCTTACATTGGATATTTTAAATACATTTTATTTAAATGCTAACAACTTTTCATTCTTGCCTGGGAAGTACAATGACCTTGTTGGCTCCCTGTCCCTGCAGCCCTCCAATCTTCACAGCTATGGCCACTTAGCCCCCATCTGGAGGTTCAAATTTACTCCAATTTTTAGAACTAATCTTGTCCCTAGGCTGGGGACATGCAAGATATCCTAGCCAAAAGCTAACTGATTTAGCAACCAGTGAGCCTTGCTGTTGGTTTCATTTTGACCTTGTAACTGACTTCCCAGATTTAGGCTATGCATCTCCCCATCTCTGGTAACCAAGACTTGGCTTTCTATACCATTTCCACTAAATGAATATCTACCTAGTCTTTCCAGTTTCAGTCTCTGATTTGCTTTCCTGTTGGGTACCTAATTCCTCCATGACTGGTGTCTGTCTTGTTCTTCTCATTTACCATTGTTTATCACTAGGCTGCTTTTTCTGAACTCCAGTTGCCGTAGTTGGGCCCTATAGTCAACTGCTGAACTTTTCTGATGCTACTAGCTTAGTCCATATCTCCATGAACTACCTTCATACCTTAGATCTGAACTTTTGCAAGATATCGGAAACGACACTCTGCTTGCTTGGATGGTTTCCCACTGCCTGCAGTAAGCATCCCCCTAGTCACTGGCTCTAATCTGCAGGTCCTGAGTGTTACTGGGAATACACTGCCTGCAATCTGGCCATGTCACTATTCCAGCCACCACAGGAAAGAAATACTCTTTTAATTGTATCTTTGGGTGAATTGTCAAGCTAACACCTTCTGCTTACTTTCAACTTATATTTCATCTTGGCCCTATCATTTAGACAACTCAAGACCTGTTCTATTCTTTGAACAGCAAAATAATAATAGAATATACTTAATACGATTATTTGAAGAAAGCCAAGAAAAAAAGTGTGTAAAAATAATGAAACATATGGTAAGCAATCAATAACTTTTAGCTGTTATAGTAATCTCATGTCTTAAATCTTTGTACTTAGAAAGTGGAAATATCATTAAAATGATGAGAAAAGAGAAGAATGGAAGAAATTCTTTAGGCAATGACTAACTCATATTTGTGTTTTTAAAGCAAAATAATTTACAGCAAGAAAGTTAACAGCTTGAAATTTGACGTGGAACTCCTGATGCTGTCAGAGATTCTTTGGATCAGTCATTTATTTTAGAGCGGTGTTTCTATAATCATTTGAAAAGTTTTAGAAAAATAATATTTTAAGTTGATATCTGAAATTCTGAGTCATTAAGTTTGAGGTAGCATTAAAGAATTGGTATGTTTAAAAAATTCCTAAAGGAATTTTTATTATCTGTTACATTTTGGAACCATGAACCCTCCAACTACATGATGCTCTGGATGTTCTGAAGTAAATGTACATCTGTCTATGGCAATATTGTCATGCAGTGAATGTAGACTCTGACTCCACTTTTACCTGCCCATTGGCGAGAAGTGTCAACAGAAAGGGAAATGCTACCATTATCTGCTTTCATCAATAGAAGGTTGTAACACCTGGCTACTTATTACATGGCAGTGCTTACCTACAAGTATCCCAGTTTATTCAGATGGAATCTTCATATTACTTTGCATTAAAAATGTAACTGTTGATTGTTTCCCTCTTGTCCAAATTACCTTGCCTTCATTTTTGTTGTTGTTTTATTTTCATTTCCCTTAGATAAATTTCTCCTTCCACTCACAAAAGTTTGATTAAATGCCTGTTAACTGCTCTAGGAAAATACATATTGACAAAACAAGAGCAACCAACTGTTTTGTATGAACATTGTGAGATGTAAGTAAGAGAGTGTGTGGGAGCCGGTGGGGGGGGGAAGAGGAGGAGATGAAAGAGAGACTAACTCCCTCTTTTCACTATGAAGACACAAAAAACTCACTCTCATCTTTTGGTCGTTCTCTTTGCTATAAGATCAGGCCAGGGCCAATATACCTGGATGTTATAGAAAGCTAAAATTTTGATACCCACTCAAAATAATGAATATTATTGATTATATGTTCACTATATCATTATAAGGGAAGCTAAGTATTACTTGGAGGAAAAGAGAAGTTGATCCTACACAGTAGGCCAGTGGTCATTTTTTAAGTGTCTTCCCAATTCACTTATCAATGTGCACCTGCACATTCCCTAAATCAAATATCTGTGGTTATCAGACCTTATCATCTCAGAAATCATATTAGCACTGCTGGGGTCAGAGTGTGTGTTGTCAGTGAACATGCTGAATCCTCCTCCCTTGAAGGCCTGGGTGTCAGGAGGTAGAGTCTTTGGTGAGCCTTCATGTTAGTACCTTTATTGAAGGCCCAGAGTCATCTTGTGCTTCTTACACCTTGGTAGGTACAGTGAGAAGAAGGCTGTCTATAAGAAAATGGGTCCTCAACAACTTTTGCTTGAAGCGTTAATTTTGGAATTATCAGTCTCTAGAATGGTGTGAAATTAGTTTCTGTTTCTCGGCTATCCAGTTTATGGTATTTTATCATAGCAACTTGGTCAGAGTTAGACAGCAATCTGACATTGTTTCTCGATGGTGTTTCCTGAGAGATATTCCTGTAAATATGATTTTCCCTATTATATCTTAACATTGCCAAGCGTTAGAAGGGGGAATCAGTGATATTTTAGTGTGCCTTATCAGGTAATGCCCTGGATAGCTTCCCAGCTGGCCTACCCCTTAATTCAGTTCCAGAAATTCCTTGCTACTATTTTTACCCTCATTTTTACCCTCCTCAGGAACCCAAAAGAAAAGAAAATACCAACAATGTCTTTTGGGGAATAGTTTATGGAATAAAAAATATAATAATTGCTATCATTATTTTGTTTAAGACTGAAAACAGCATCTTACCAGACATCCTCAGCATCCTCATCACATTCTGCGCCAAACTGGCAAATATCACAGGTAGATGTCTCCTTCTGACTGGTTTCTCCAGAGCCCTCATGGACTGTAGGACAGAAAAAAGTAAACAAAGGAAATGCAGATAAGTGTGTGTACAATCAACCATGTTGACACAGTTCTCTGATAAAGCTGTTAATTTCCAATGGACCTGTCTGCTTCCAGGGCTTTATAGGGACATCATTCTCAATCGTTTTCTTCCCCTTTAAGGGTAACTCTAGCAACGCTATGCTACCGATTGGAATGTAGTCAACACTTCTTAAAAGCAAAATAAAGTAACTAAGAAATATGTTTACTGGATTTATAAACATTGCTCAGCTAGCAAATAGAATATATGAAAGAGCTATTTAATGAAAAAGGATTTAGACTGTTATCTCCGTAGAAGAAAAATCTAGTGTCTAGTTTATGAAAACTACTGAGTTATCTCTTATTGCTAAATTATAGACATTTTTCATTCAAAGGTTTTCATGTATAATTTTTAAAATATTATATAGGTAGTCATATCTTATTAGATATGTCCACTTTCCCCTCCTCAAACTGCTAAGTACTTGTGGGGAAAATATGTTGATTATAAGTCTTTAGAAAACAGCTCTCGTTTTACTGTCATTTCTTGAATCTTACATAAAAATTGGACAGAGAAAATCATAGTGATTTACTCTTAGAGTTTTGGACATAAATTTTATTTAAAATATATATATTTAGTCACTGGTGATGATCATTTATACTGGCCCTTGTCATCCCCAGAATTACAGGTATAAAAATAGGCAAAATGTAACCTAATTACAAAATGCACCTTTCAAAAATCATGACACGATGATATCAACTGATAAAAAATTTCTAGTATTTTATGTAGGGAGGAATAAGCCGGACTTTTGAGGTGATAGACTATTCTTTACCAATTAAAAGACATTTTACTAAAAGAAAAACTAGCTTTACTTGAAAGTGAAAAATCGCAACTATCTAACTACTACAAAGATAATCGGATTTCATGGACAGATTGCATGCTTTAAAACATATGTTTAAAATCTAAGAAGGCTTTAAAAAGTGCACTTCTGCAAAGATCACATATCTTCAAGAAAAAAAATATGAAAAATTTCTGTCTTTATGAACCCTAATAAAACATTTTTAACAAATAATTTAAAATATGCACCCTGAGCTTGTCAAATTCAATGTTATTTTAACACTTTATTTTTTCATTTCTTTTTTGTTTATTAACAGTATTTTTAATATTTATAAAAACAAAGAACTGCACTTCTTAATTTTAATTTATTACCATGCAGATGACTGATTTGTTATACCAAAATAAATAAATAAAAATAAATAAATAAATAAGACACAAATCTCAAGGAGAGATTTCTGTTTTGTAGCTCTTTCAGGAGAGGTGGGCAGAATTATTGTCTTCTGAAACAATATATTTTTTGTGTGCCTGAGGATCTGAAGTTATATTGCTTTAGTTTCTCTGTGCTTGACAACCACTTAATTCGTGTTAAAATTACAAATTTAATAGGTCAACTATAATTGCAAAAATATTGATGGCATAATTTTGAATTTGGGCGACTTTAAAAAAAAGTGTTTTTCCCCCAAAAGAAGAAAGGATTTTAGACTCTGATAGAACAGAGAACAATTGTCTTATTATCCACTCTATTACTCGAATACAGGGAAGACCATTAGAGTGGACCATTGGGATAAGAAGGAAGCTGAGGCCGTACCTCAGGGGAGCCTGAACAGCTGAGGCTGGATTCTTTATTACTTTCTTATTATTAATGCAACACAGAAGCTGCTAATGGGAGAGAGCTTTTTAGTGTTAGCAAGATTAGCAACTTCCAGGTTAAAGCTTCCCATCACTCAGGAAACACACTAACGCAACGGGAAGGTCCTTAATGACCAGCAAGGGCTGCTTAGAGCAGTCCCATTTTCTTTAGCGCTGAGATCCTTGGTTCGAGATCTACTGGAAGTAATCCAGGGATGAATTTTGCTAACTCAGGGGGGCTAATAATAATATTTCTACCCAAAGTCACATTACATTTCTATAAAAGGGTAGTTATTGGAAGAACAGGGATATTTGGAAATTTTCTCATAAGGAGAAGTAAATCCAGAGGAAGCCATAGCAATAGCCCCATTAATAAATATTTGGGGAATTAAATGTCTTTATATGAAGTCATCCTCAATGAAAACTATAGTAAAATCTTTCCATATTACCTGAAGCACAGATTTTCACGTTTATAAAGCACAAGCAATTAAAAAAGTGCCCAGCTTTCATTTAATCTTGTGGACCAATTGTTATTAGAACTGGAGCTAAGAGTTCTGGCAGATTTATTTGTTTTTTTTTTTTTTTTAACATAAATGTCTTGTAATATTCTTGTAAATACTGAATTAACTGAAATACTGAAGTTTGGGGCTTGGATATGCACATTCTAAAAAGCGGACAATCCCTTAGTGATAATCTGTGTCTTAAGCAGTACCAACAAGACTCCATTTGTTCCAAGCACTCTCCCCATGTTGTCCAGCACAGGGTTTCTAACACTCCAAAGGTCCCAGGAAGCATCTGAGGTTTTGTTAAAGGGAGATTCTCCCTCAGTAGGTAAGAGGAGCAGCTTGAGGTTCTCCGTTTCTTACATGCCCCCAGATACTGCTGCTACTGTGGCTGGTCCACAGGTTACATTTTGAGTTGAAAAAAATAGCATTGTGTTTTTCAAACCACAATTCACAATCTATTAGTGGGTAGTGAAACTTATGTATCACAATCCACATTTTTGTAGATACAAAACATACTAGACTAGAAAATATCAAAGTGCATCTCATTTAGCATGAATATGTCAGATTTTATAACAATGCTTTAGTTACATGAATGGACATTCATACAAGGCTGCAATATAAATTACAATTCTTACTAAAGGTCAGAGTCACGAAAGCTTTCTTGAAAACCACTGATTTAGCACATGTTACATGCTCAATAATGTGTGTTGAATTGGACTGTTTCTTGTCTTTCTACATTACCAGAAATGGGAAGGATCAGTACTTAATTATTTGCAGTTATATACTGATTATACAGGAATAAAACATCTTTATCCTAAAGTATTATCTTAACCACGCATTTGCATTTTAAGTCCTTTATTTTGTAGTAAAGTTTTAAACCCTTTATTTTGAAGTTGTGAAGCAAAAGAATTATTTCCTTTTATTTCATAGAAACTTAGGTTTTGGCAAGTGATTGAAAGAAATTTGAGGGGCAAGGGAGGTGGAGCTACTGAAAGAGCAGCATATTTAATATGTCATACTACAGTTAAAACTGATTTATTCCTTTTAGGAAGATTTGGAATTGGAGGCTTATTAAAATGATAATGTTATGTTTTCCTCAAATCTCTCTGCGCTGGTGTTTTTTCCTGAAGGTTCCTAAAGTTCTTTTCTCACCACTCTGTTCTGTCCCAATACAGGTGGGCACACTGGTCTGACACATCAACAGGCCTACTGAGCCCAGTTTCTCTGCTGAACCCACTATCATAAATAACTCAACCTCCTGTTTCTCTTGTAATATTCTTAACCTGTTCTGAATACATGGTGAAATATAATGTTCAAATACTTAGTCATTCAGTGTCACTTAATTTGTTAAGAACTGAGTTAAAACTGACATTCAGTGAAACACTCAGATCATAAGGATTCTTTTCAATCAGTTTTGAAGAGTGCATATGAAGACACATATGAAATGATCATCTCAGAAAGGAAACTTTCTGCTCCTTCCCACTACAATTGCATTTCCCTACCACTCTGCTACTTACATACAAGCAGATCATTGATCAGCACAGATTAGTTTTAATGATTTTAGAAATCATCTCAATGTAATAATACAACAATGTAAATTATGTTGAGATTCTTTTGCTCAGAATAATTTGAGATTCAGATAGTTGCAGAGTTTAGTAGCTTGATAGCTGGATAGTAGAGCACGTACTTATCATTGCATGAGGTCCTGGGCTTAATCCCCAGTACCAAAAGTAGATGAATAGACAAATAAGTAAATAAATGGAAAGAAATTATAATTGTGTACTTATGAATAAAGCGGACATAAATATTCTTGGTAAAGGGTTTCTGGTGTACATATTATTATTTTGCAGTACCAGGGATTGAATGTAAAGGTGCTCTAACATTGAGGTACATCCTCAGTCCTTTTATTTCAATATAGTGTCTCCCCAAGTTGCTCAGGTTAGCCTTAAACATAAGATCCTTCTGCCCAAGGCTTCCAAGTAACTGGAATTACAAGCATGCACCAACACAGCCATGTACATACGTTTTTGTTTCTCTTGGACAACTACCTAGCAGTAGGATTATTGAGTCTTTTTTTAATTTAATTTTTTTATTGGTTGTTCACAACATTACAAAGCTCTTTACATATCATATTGTATACATTACATTGAAGAACTCACAATTTTGCCACAAATGCAGATTGCAGAATCACATCGGTTACACATCCACAATTTTACATAATGCCCAATTAGTAATTGTTGTATTCTGCTACCTTTCCTATCCCCTACTATCCCCCCTCCCCTCCCCTCCCTTCTTCTCTCTCTACCCCATCTACTGTAATTCATTACTCTCCTTGTTTATTTTCCCATTCCCCTCACAACCTCTTATATGTAATTTTGTATAGCAATGAGGGTCTCCCTTCATTTCCATGCAATTTCCCTTTTCTCTCCCTTTATTATTGCTGGTATTTTTACATTTATTTCCCAGTGCAGAAAATTTTTAAAATATTTTGGACACATTTCTTTTGGTTTTGTTTTGTCAGATATACATCTTGTGATTTTTTTTTTCTATTTTTGGATGATGTGCTTTTTGGGTTTTTTTTTTTTCCCCCAATGAGAAATGTTTTTTGATGAAGTTAATTGTCTTTTGTGTGAGTCTTATTTTTATGGCTCTTTTAGGAAGCTTTCTTCTCAAAGGTCAGGAAGATATTTATGTTTTCTTTAAGTCTCAAAATTTATAAATTTTTACACTCAGGTTTATGAGCATCTTAAATTGGATTTTATGTATGATATGAAGTTAAGATTGAGAATGGTT